TTCTATACAACGAAAGGAGACTGCGACCACACAAAAGGCCATACCATCTTGGTCTTCATACCTTCGATTATACAATCTGAAATGTATTAGGATCCATTCTAATTCTGGCTTTTTGTCCAGTTAAGGCATATCTTAGCAGACATTTTTAGAGACTGCATCTTTTAATAGTATGTTATTTGCTTAGAAAGCCAAGTATCTATATGAGAGACTTCGTCCTAATAAAAAGGAGTCTTAAAGTTTGAGACGATCGCTGCCTGGGAGCAGAGTTAATCCATTATTAATGGAAGATTGTCTTTAATATTTTGAATGGAAGTTTAAAGATCTTGGTCTCTGAAGCAACTAATGGAAGTATACGGAATCCGTGTGATTCATTAAAATGTATGCTTTAATGCTAAAATCAAGTTTTTCTCGATGCAGACATCTCAGTCTCTACATGCTAGACAAAGTTGTCGCATCCGTCAACCTGTCTGCTGGTTACCGGGCCAAAGCCGATTGCCTCAACATCTACCGGGTTAGCTGTATTGCCCTTAATTCTGGTAACAGGGGATGAGTCTTGCCCACGACCGGCCAGGCCAGGAGTCCAACTTCGGCCAGCCAAAGTAGAGCCGTTCGACTGCGAGGAAGTTGCAATTGTTGCTGGCCAAGTGCGACGGCGCCGGTACTTGGTCTGGTGTATGAGACTCACAACACCAATCAGGAGGGGTAGTAGGCAAGGCAATATGTCACCACCAAGATGGTCGACAATTGGCCAGATACATGTTATGTAGACAGAATTGAGCGGCCAAGTAGTGGAGAAGCCGCAAGAATAGGCGTTTGCTACTAGACGGTCATGAATGCGTCTGCTGTCCGCACGAGACAGGTCAAAGGTCCAGAGGAACTGGCAGTCAAGTGTGAGCCAAATCGCGAGCGCTAAGATGACCACATTGTGGACCTGGTCGCGCCGGAAACAAGCCAGATAGCCTATAGGACTGGCAACGAGGTGAGCCGTTTCGCCCGCCAGGCCCAAAAATAGTGTGGCTTGCACATGCCTGAAGAGAGTGGCAATCATCGGAAAGAGCTGACAAGCTGCGCGGTCCAGGAATTGCAACATCGTGAACAGCTGAATGCCACCGTAGGTCTCAACCAGCTGATCGACTACTTGAAAAGAAAGGTCTATCTGGAAGAGATAACAAGAGAAGTCATAGAGTGAGGCAAGAAAAAGATGAAAAAATTAATGAAATAATAAAATCTAAGCATTGTATATGATAAATTGTATCAGAAACAAAGCGGCTTTACATTAATAAGTTCTCAATTAAATCCACATATGTAATGCATAGTTTATTTTAAAAATTAGATAAATAATAATTCGCAAGAGAGAAAGAGCAAATCAAGTAAGCATAGATTTGGTCGCCATAGCACGCTTAATAAGATGAGAAACAAAGGTGATATTCCCAATAATGAGATGAGAAGAACACTGGATTGAAATAAAGTTCAATTAGCCTAGTTTCCCGGACGATATCCTTATCAAGCGTTAGGTCTCTACACAATAAGCATTACGCCATACTGCCGATAGGTCAGAGTGCAAAAGAGAATTTCAAGACGTGGTAGGCAGTTAACATATCATGGGTTTATATAGGTATTTTCGCTGAAGAAAACATGTGAATCTCATAACGGTCAACAGAATTCATTTTATTTTGAGTATAGATACGAAAGAATAGGTTGAATTTGAAAAACAAACTTGGCCAGTCTATGAGGACTAGCGTGAGGAAGCATTGAGAGTGAGAGCAGTCACGGAGTGAACAAGTAACAGTTAGCAAGACAATTTGTGTTCCAACTATCCTACTTGCTAACTTGTGTCCGATGATAAGGGACTTTATTTATCTCTACTTACTAGAAGCATAGCAACTGTAGGACTTTACTTACTCCTCGCATATTCAGAAACCATTTACATATGAATATTCAACTTAACTTCTTATAAGAAGCAATTAGGCTGTTGGCCATAGTGGCAACATGTTGAAATTATACACAAACTAGCCGAGTTCAATTCCCACTTAAGAAGATGATGAGACCTAGGCAAGGTCGAAATGGCAGTCCACCCTAGATGAGAATATCATTTGGAAAGTAAGTCAAAGTAAAATTTGATTGAATTGTGAAATCTACTGGTATAGAAGGTATAAAGACTAATATGGTGTGGCCTCTAGTCCAAATCCACGGTCCGACTCTAGAAATTATTATGCATATTATTGACTCTGGACAATGTGTGATCCTCTAAGTCTTCCTGCCAGTATGACCAAGTTGTGAAACCAAGGTCACACAACTGTTATTCGTATCGTTGTGAGAGAAACTCAACTTATGCGACCAAGGGTAGCCGGAAATTTAATTCATGATTTACTGATACTATCGTGAACCAACATTCCCCGAAGTCTATTAAGAATATCAAAGGGCAACTGAAGTTGTAACAGTTGAAAATCTACTCTTTAAAAGGCAAGCATTGTCTTGTGAGATGTGAAGAGGAGATGGGTTTCGAAGAATCCCTTAGAAGATAGATATTGACATACCTTTCATTTCATTCGAGAATGCGGATGTAAGAGATTTGTAGATTGTCCTCACCGGATACCGAAGGAGGATTGCCTTTGACTCTTGTCTGTTGAATTGTGCGAAAAAGTCCTCTGCTCACCCTTCTACGACCCAGATGATTCCGTGCTGAGCTTTCTTGCACCATGTGATGAACATCGTCAGGTCCAGAAACCATTATTCACTGGCAATCACTTTTCTTGATTTAGGTTTTTCGGTGATTACTCGTGAGTAATGGCTCTGACGATGTCCATCACGTGAAGGATGAAAGCTCAATACGGAGCCATGGGGGTCATCGGAAGGTGAGCCGAGGTCTTCTTCGCACAATACAACAGGCAAAGGTCCAAGGCAACCCTCCTTCGGTATCCGGTGAGACCAATCTACGAATCCGTTCCACCTGTCTTCTCAAGCGAAATGAAGGGTATGCCAGTATCAACCATTGTCTTGGCTTTTATTGCTAATGATACCTACATACGGAGGGATGTTTAAAACTTCCCAGGATAAATGAGCTCAATTAACTTGATAAAAAAGACTTGCAATCTACAATTTTCGCAAAAGGTTTTCTATTACCTGCTAGAGTCGTCTGTGATATACGAATGAACTGCTAGGATGTGTGGTACAGTGGGATTCAAAGGAAATACCGAGCATTTGTTGATCTCATCGTATATAGCTAAAGTGTCAGTGTTAGCCTCGCTCAATAAAATACGTGACGCGTAGTTGAATCAAAAGAACTCAAGCAGAATAAACAAACTATGACTGTCAGATGAAGCGCGGTAAGGTAGACCTGCATGTGCAAAGGATATATAATAGCATCAACTAAACAACGAAATGGAATTGTAATGGTGCAGAGAAAGGATG